GGCCTTCTCCTGCCAGCCCTCTCCCTGTCCCCAGGGCTCCTTGCCTGTTGCTCCAAACAGTTGCTAGGAGGAAGCATGGCCGGATGTGAGTGCGGCCACCCGGGCTGCAAGGGGTGCTCCCTGGCAGGTGTGGCCAGCCAAATACCAGTAACTTCCTTGCTTTAAGTGCGGCTGAGTCACAAGCCCGGCAGAGATGTGATGGTGGCACGTGTATCCCCTTCCAGGTACACCCTGCTGTGTGGGAACCCTCCCTTTGAGACCTCCGACCTCAAAGAGACCTATAGGTGTATCAAGCAGGTGGAGTACACCCTCCCTGTCTTCCTCTCCCTGCCGGCCAAGCACCTCATTGCTGGCATCCTCAGACGCAACCCCCAGGACCGCCTTACCCTCGAGGAGATCTTGGACCATGAGTTCTTCAAGGTGAGTGGGTGGGGGTCTGGCTGTGACCATTCTCCATGTGGGATGAAGCTTTTTGGGCTGTGTGGGGTGCTGTACTTGGAGCTCAAGTCTTGGTCCTTCAAAGGAAGCAGCCACTATCCTACCCAAATGCCAGCTGGGGAACTGAGGGATCTGGTGTGCTCCTGCTGCCCTGTCCCTGTAGCACAGGCTGTTTCCCATACTGATGCTGGTCATGAGGCCAAGGTTTGACAGAAATGTTAGCTGGCTGTCAGGAGGGCTGTGAGTGACTGCGGTCAGCCCAGGGCAGCTGCTCTGCCTGGAGAACGTGGGCTATGGAAACAAAACCTCTGCCTTGACCTCTCTGCAGGGCTACACGCCTGAGAAGCTCCCTCCCAGCAGCTGTGTGATGGCTCCAGAGCTGAGTCCCCCCAACCCAGCAAAGAGTCTGTTTGCTAAAGTCACCATGACACTCTTTGGGAAGAAGAAACCCAAGGGTGAGTCCATGCACTTGCCCAGGAGCCTCTGGGTGACCCTTCCTCCAGGGAGAAGTGGGTCCTCTCTCCTGGAGAGACTTCCTGATGGGTCTCTGTGGACCCCCTGCCTGGGGCCAGCACAAGCTGGGCTTGTCCCTGCCCTTCTGGTGCTGATGGCCTGGCATGGGTGTGCGCCCGGAGAGCGGATGCTGTGCTGCAACCCATGGGGCCAGTTCCTCCTGGAGGCCTTTTGTTGCATGAGAACTGGGAAGTGAAAGTGGGAGACAGCTGGCTGACACCATCCTCGCCCTCATGGGCATGGGAATGGATGAGGGAGGGCTGAGATACAGGGAGGGCTGGCCCAGATGTCCCTGTCCTGTGTGCTGATTGCTTGCTCTCTCTCCTCAGCCAAGAAGGGCTCTCTGGAGGACAAGGATGACATCTCCAAACTGGTCACTGGGCTGATGAAGACCTCGATCTGCCGGCAGATGAGCTATAAAACCATGGAAGGGAATGAGGTGAGAACATTGCTGAGCCCATGCACATTCCCCTCTGGGGTAGCAGGCAGGACGGTGATAAAGCCCGGTCTCTCCACAGGCCACTCCTGTATCATGCCGCAGTGCCAGCTCTAGCCCAGTGGAGACGGTGGTGGAGGAGACCTCTCATAAGTCTGCATCCCCTTCTGTCCGGGGGACGATATGCAGCAGCTGCGAGGGTGAGCAATGCCTGCCCAGGCTACCCTAGCCTGCCCTGAGCTTCCTGTCCTGTCCTGCCCTGGCTGATAGTGGGGTCAGCTGACTCAGCCTGTCATCTTCTCTCCACAGCCTTTGAAGACTGCATCACCGCCTCTGCCATCATAGAGTCGGCTGTCCGGCTCCTGCGGACCTGCCTCTCCTCCATGCCCCCAGGTAAACCGGTTGGACTGCTCTGGGATGGGACAGGGTGCTGTGCATCCCCTTCCCCATGGGATGAGGGCACAGCTGCTGTCTGGGATACCTTAAATGCTGCCAGAGCCTGCTGGGGGTGGGGGTCTGCTCCCCCTGGGGAGGTGAGGTGGGTAAGGGCTGGCTGCCTGCTCTGCTCACCCCTTCTCTTCTCCTCCAGCGGAGAAAAACCCAGCGTCCCTGGCCCGCCATGAGCACTTTGTCTGGGTGAGCAAATGGGTAGATTACTCCAACAAGTACGGCTTTGGCTACCAACTCTCCAACCGTAGCATCGGTGTTCTCTTCAACAACGGCACGCACATGACTCT